AAAAAAAAAAAAAAAAAAAAAAAGAGTATGGTTTACTGAGTATGTTAGCACAGATATATAAAAAATTCTAAACTACCATTTAGGCATTAATTAAGGAAGATTCATGTTGCCTATACAAATTTACTAAGAAATCTTAGTAATGAGATTTGAATTAACGGATCTGTAGTTTGCTTACATAAATTCATTTTCTACCTTTTCTATAGATTCAAAAGAGCAATATAAGAAGTGGAATCTCTAAGAATGGCTTCCAGCCACTGGAATGAAACCACTGCCTCTGTTTATCAGTACCTTGGTTTTCAAGTTCAAAAAATTTACCCTTTCCATGACAACTGGAACACTGCCTGCTTTGTCATCCTGCTTTTATTTATATTTACAGTGGTAGCTTTAGTGGTGCTGGCTTTCCTTTATGAAGTGCTTGACTGCTGCTGCTGTGTAAAAAACAAAACTGTGAAAGACTTGAAAAGTGAACCCAACCCTCTTAGAAGTATGATGGACAACATCAGAAAACGTGAAACGGAAGTGGTCTAACATGACAGAAGATGAACAAAATCTCTGAAAGCAGTTCAATCTCTTCTGAGGAAAAAAAAACCTTCTGAAGCCAACTGTTACTACAAAACAAATTCTGACTGAATGGTTAAAAGATTTCTAGTAGAAGGGGAAAAACAAATTAAATATGCACTGCTTGTGTGTGTAGCCCTTTCATTAAATATACAGTAAAACTTCACAAATGTGAATTTACCTACCTATTTATCGCTGACGCTTCAAAAAATGGATAAAAGATTCCTAGAGTTCAATGTTGAGCAGCAAAAGGTAAGCTGGAAAACACAGGCAAGGCTAATGATGCTAAAATAATTTTATGCCTGACCACTTCATTTAGCTCAAAAAATTGTGTGTGGTAAGGAGAATGCTATTTAAAATGTGTTTCTAAGTCTAAAGTAAAATACTTCCACTTACATATAAAGTACCTGTTTATTAAAAAGTACTATTTTCTAATTTATTGAAAACAACTTATATAACTAACGACTTGAGTTTTATACGGGATATGACTAAATCTCAAAATAATCAAAAATGCCACAGTATATTTGCACAAAATTCTCACAAAACTGTTTAGTTAGAAATGCATGATATAGGCTGGGTGCAGTGGCTCACGCCTGTAATCCCATCACTTTGGGAGGCCGAGGTGGGTGGATCACGAGGTCAAGAGATCGAGACCATCTTAGCCAAGATGGTGAAACCCCGTTTCTACTAAAAATGCAAAAATTAGCTGGACGTGGTGGCACGTGCCTGTAGTACCAGCTACTTGGGAGGCTGAGGCAGGAGAATCGCTTGAACCTGGGAGATGGAGGCTGCAGTGAGCCGAAATCACGCCACTGCACTCCAGCCTGGTGACAGCAAGACTCTGTCTCAAAAAAAAAAAAAGAAAGAAAGAAAAAGAAATGCATGATATAGGAAAGCCCTAGTCTATTTTCAAACTAAAAGTTACTACTACACCCCTTCATTTCCTGAGTTTGTTCTTTCATTTTACCTCTCATAGTCATACTCTCAAAGGCTTACATAACCTAGGCAGAAAACACTGCAAAAAGAACACTGAACACCTGTTGAGAAACAAGGTAGTTTTATTTCTTGGAATTGCAAGAGCTATATAGATATTTTGTGACCTTAACACTATTTAGCTATCACCCATGAGCAAACCAAAGCATGTTCTTAACCACTATACTACCCTTAAGTCAGAAATGCCACTCCTGGGACTGTATCCTGAACAAGCTTAGGGTACAAAGATTTTTACATTGGCATTACTCAAAGTAACAAAAAATTGGAAATAACTAAGCTTCTTTTTTTTTTTTTTTTTGAGACAAGGTCTCACTCTGTTGCCAGCCTGAAGTGCAGTGGCACAATCTCAGCTCACTGCAACCTCTGCCTCTGGGTTGAAGCAATTCTCCTGCATCAGCCTCCCAAGTAGCTGGGACTACAGGCACACCACTAGTCTCAGCTAATTTTTGTATTTTTAGTAGAGATAGGATTTCACCATGTTGGCCAGGATGGTCTCCATCTCTTGACCTAGTGATCCGCCCACCTCAGCATCCCAAAGTACTGGGATTACAGGTGTGAGCCACTACACCCAGCCATACTGAGCTTTTAACTAAATATGCCACATCAACTTAATGGATTATTAAAAAGCAACTGGGGCCGGGCACAGTGGCTCATGCCTGTAATCCTAGCACTTTGGGAGGCTGAGGTAGGTGGGGAGGCCGAGGCGGGCTGATCTTGAGGTCAGAAGATCGAGACAATCCTGGCCAACATGGTAAAACCCCGTCTCTACTAAAATACAAAAAATTAGCCAGGCATGGTGGTGCATGCCTGTAGTCCCAGCTACTCGGGAGGCTGAGGGAAGGAAATCACTTAAACCTGGAGGTGGAGGTTGCAATGAGCCAAGATCGTGCCACTACACTCCAGCCTGGTGACAGAGCAAGAATCCATTTTAAAAAAAAAAAAAAAAAAAGCCACTGAAAATTTTGACAAGATAGAAAAATATATTTAAAAGTAAGGTCCAGGTGCAGTGGCTCATGCTTATAATCCTAGCACTTTGGGGAGCCTGAGGCAGGCAGATCACAAGGTCAGGAGTTCAAGACCAAACTAGCCAACAGTGAAACCCATCTCTACTAAATATACAAAAAAATAAAAATAGCTGGGCGTAGTGGCAGGCACCTGTAGTCCCAGCTACTTGGAAGGCTGAGGCAGGAAAATTGCTTGAACCCAGAAGGCAGAAGTTGCAGATAGCCAAGATGGTGCCACTGCACTCCAGCATGGGCAACACAGCAAGATTCTGTCCCAAAAAAGAAAAAGTAAAAAATAAACTCAGAATATAAAAGTTTTAATACAATTATCAATGATAATATAAATTAATATACATATCAGTAAGGTCTGAAAACAAACATGGAGAATTAGAATAGCTGGTATATTAAGAGGGCTGTGGGGACCAAAAAAGGCACTAGGTATTATAAGAGACTTTTTTTTTTTTAAATCTCCACTACTGATGGAATTTTTTAATGTGCAATAAATAACTGTGGTAAAGAGACGAAATCTGTTATTTTCAATTTAAAGAATCTTAGCCGGGCGTGGTGGCTCACGCCTATAATCCTTGCACTTTGGAAGGCCAAGGCAGTTGGATCACCTGAGGTCAGGAGTTCGAGACCAGCCTGGTTGACATTGTGAAACTCCATCTCTACTAAAAATACACAAAAATTAGCCAGAGATAGGAGCGGGGTACCTGTAATTCCAGCTACTTGGGAGGCTGAGACAGGAGAATCACTTAAACCTGGGAAGCAGAGGTTACAGTGAGCCAAGATTGCGCCATCGCACTCCAGCCTGAACAAGAGTGAAAATCCATCTCGGGGGAAAAAAAAAAAAATCTTAATTGCCAGTTTGAAACCACTCTTCCACAAAGTATTTTTTATATTTAAAAGGACTCGTGAAGCTTGGGTATATAAAATACTTTGGTAACCAGGAACTGAGCACTGTTAAAACCACATATATTTTCATAAATGCTGGATTCTTGGCAACAGATGGGAAGTACACAGGTCCTCCATAACCAGATTTTCTGGCCTGGCACAGTGGCTCACACTTGTAATCCCAGCCCTTTGGAAGGCCAAAGCGAGTGGATCACCTGAGGTCAAGAGTTCAAGACCAGCCTGACCAACATGACAGAGACAGGTGAAACCCTGTCTCTACTAAAAACACAAAAATTAGTCGGGCATGGTGACAGACACCTGTAGTCCCACATACTCGGGAGGCTGAGAGGAGAAGTGCTTGAACACATGAGGCGGAGGTTGCAGTGAGCTGAGACCGCACCACTGTACTCCAGCCTGGTCAACAAAAGTGAGACTCCATCTCAAAAAAAAAAAAAAAATTTTTTTAACAGTGTATACTATTAACTTTCTCCTACACCCTGTCCGGTAGTTTGTTTCAACATTTAACAAATATTTATTGAGTACTTACAACAAGTCAGCGATTAGGCCAGATACTGAGGGCAGAGTGGCAAACAAGGAATCAAGTCATTGCAATGGAGTACATTGGGAGCTCCGGCAGAGAGTGAGTGTTATAAGAACTCAAAGGTTATGCACTGAATTCACACTGGAGAATGAGAATAATATGACTTTTAAGATGAAACTTAAAAGAACAGGACAGAACCAAAAGAAAGAGGGTAGGAGGTAAGAAAGAATATTCCAGGAAGAGAAAATAGTATGAGTAAAAGAGGCATGAGAGAATAAAACATGTTGGAGGAGCTACAAGTCAGTATCACTAGGACAGAGTACAAGGAAAACAGTATGATACTAGGCCTAAGAGATAATTAGGGGCCAGATCAGGCAGGCACATAGGTTGCAATAAAAATGTGACTTTATCTGAAAAACAATAATGATCAGCTTGAGCAGAAAGCAACATGATCTAACGAGAAAAATCACTGCTTTATGAAGAATGAACAGGAAAGAAGCTAAACCAGGAGACCTAGTTTAGCAATCCAATGACAGCGGCCTGAACTAGAGTGGTACGGTAGCCTTTAGTGTTTCCACCCAATATTTCTGGCTCTCTTCATTAAGAAAAGCATGCACTTCGAAGCCCCCTATGGTTGGGAACATAACTCTGGCCAATGAGTGACTTGTGAATAACTCTGGTCAATGAGCTGTGAGAGGATGTGATGTGTGTTCACCTCCAGGCCACAGCACTTAACTGCTAGTGCAAGCTCTTCCAGAGTTTGTTTTCCTGCTAACACAGAACTCACAAACATTTGAGCTACCACCTGCTCTGTGAGCCCAGTGGTAGTCTTGAGTGACTACAACTAGCTAAGACTCCTGCCAGCCCATGATAAACATGTAGTACGAAAGAGAAACAAGCTTTTGTTGTTTTAAGACACTGAGACTTTGGGATTATTACAACAATACAGTTTATCCTATCCTGACCATTAGGGATAACCCTGGCCAACCAAAGAGAAGTAAAGCGCTACAAAGGCTCTTCCTGCTGAATGGGACCTGCTGTTTGTGTGGAAGATGAAATTCACTATCCATTACCTGTAGCCTAAACTACAAAATGCAAAGACATTCTTGAGCAGGTCAAAGGCTCAAAGTGGCTTAAGCCTAAGAGTGGCTGTGTTAATGTTTAAAACAGTTTTTACATTTTGTTTACGATGAATTAATTCTATGTAAATTTCATTGGAATGACAAATAAGCCTACTGTATAAGAATGACAGGCCTACTCTGATTTTTTTTAAAAAGCTCTGTTTTAAAATCAGTTATTAAAGCAGCTTGAAGGACACGTAAAAAAAATCAATAAAAATTATTGCTACATTATGAAATAGCTAAAATAATTTCAGCTGTGAATTACGTTCCAGTGACATTTTTTAACAGATAATAATGTAAGAGTACACTAAACGCAAAGCAAGCAGAAGGAAATAATAAATACTGATGTGGAAATAGATAAAATTTAAAAAATTAAAAAACAGAAAAACAAATTAAACCAAAGGTTGGTTCTTTGAAAAGATCAAAAAAATTGATGACCCTTTAGCTAGACTGATCAAGAAAAAAAGGGAGAAAGCACAAATTCCTAAAATCAGAAATGAAAGAGGGCACCAAGGTGCAGTGGCTCAGGCCTGTAATCCCAGCACTTTAGGAGGCCAAGGTGGATGGATCACCTGAGGTTAGGATTTCAAGACTAGCCTGGCCAACATGGCAAAACGCTGTCTCTACTAAAAAAATCAGCTGGGCAAGGTGACACGTGCCTGTAATCCCAGCTACTGTGAAGGCTGAGACAGGAGAATCACTTGAACCCGAGAGGCAGAGGTTGCAATGAGCTGAGATCGTGCCACTGCACTCCAGCCTGGGCAACAGAGGAAGACTCTGCCTCAAAAAAAAGAAAGAAGGAGGGGATATCACTACTGACTTTACAGAAATCAATAGGATTATAAAGGAATACTTTGAAAAACCTTAGATGATGTAAATGATGAAACAAATAAACTCCTAAAAAGGCACAAAGCACCAAAATTAACTCAAAAAGAAATAGAAAATCTGAATAAACTGAAAAGAAAAAATTCTTACAAAGAGCTTTCCAAAGAGGAAAGCTGAAGCCCAAATGGCTTCGCTAGTGAATTCTACCAAACATTTAAAAAAAACAGTAACCAAATTCCACAAACTCTTTCAGAAAATAGGTAAAAAGGAAGCACTTCACAAATCGTTTAAGGAGACCAGAATTACCCTCAGAGGCACCAAAGGAAAAGAAACTACATATCAAGTCCCTCAGGAACAGAGATGCAAAAATCCTGGACCAAACACCAGCAAATTGAATACTACCACAAATAAAAACGATTATCACCATAACCAAGTAGGATTTATTCCAGGAATAAATGCAAGGTTGTTTTAACATCTAAATATCAATTAATGTTAATATACTATATTAATAGACTAAAGGGCAAGAACAACATGATCATCTCATTAGATACAGAAAAAGCACCAGACAACATCCAATACCCATTTATGACTAAAAACTCTCAGAGTCAGATGTGGTAGCTTATGCCTACAATCCCAACACTTTGGGAGGCAAAGAGGGATGGATCCCTTGAACCAAGGAGTTTGAGACCCACTAAGGCAAAAAAGTAAAACCCCATCTCTACCAAAAAAAAGTTTTAATTAGCCAAGTGTGCATGTGCTTGTAGTTCCAGCTACTCAGGAGGCTGAGGCTTGCTTGAGCCAGGGAGTTTCAAGGCTACAGTGAGTCATGATCACGCCACTGTACTCCAGCCTGGGCAAGAGAGTAAGACCCTGTCTCAAAAGAAAACAAAAAAAAACCACCTCTCAACAAACTGAAAATAGAGGGGAACGTCTTCAACTGGAAAGGGCATGTGCAAAAACCTGCAGTAATATCCCACATAAGAGTGAAAGACTGAATGCTTTGCCCTTAAGATTAGGAAAAAGGCAAAGATAGCTATTTTTACTATTCAACAGACAGCCAGTTTACACAGGCAAAAAAATAAAGTTCATACTGGAAAGAAAAGAAAGAAAGGCAGAAAGACAGACAGAAAGATGGACCGACGGAAAAACAAACTGTTCTTATTCTCAGATGACATAATCTTGATCTAGAAAATACTAGGGAAACCACAGAAAAAACTGTTAGAAATAAAAAACAAGTTCAGTAAGGTTACAGAATATGAGATCAATGTATAAAGAAACTCCTGATGGGCCGGGCGTGGTGGCTCACGCCTGTGGTCCCAGTACTTTGGGAGGCCAAGGCAGGCGGATCATGAGGTTAAGAGATCGAGATCATCCCGACCAACATAGTGAAACCCTGTGTCTACTAAAATACAAAAATGAGCTGGGCGTGCTGGCACACACCTGTAGTCACAGCTACTTGGGAGGCTGAGGCAGGAGAACTGCTTGAAGCCAGGAGGCGGAGGTTGCAGTGAGCTGAGATCGCACCACTGCACTCCCGCCTGGCGAAAGAGCAAGACTATCTCCAAAACAAACACAAACAAACAGAAAACTCTTGTTTATATGTATACCAGAAATGAACAATCCAAAAAAACAAAAAAAAAAAAAACAATTCCATTCGTAAGTGAAATCGAATCAGAATAAAATAACCTCTGGATGCAATGGCTTATACCTATAATCCCAACGCTTTGGGAAGCCGGCTTGACGCCAGGAGTTTGAGACCAGCATGGGCAACATAGCAAGATCCTGTTTTCAAAAAAAAATTTTTTTAAGCCATCCATTCATTGACTGGAAGACTTAATATTGTTAAGATAGCAATTCGCTTCCCCAAATTGTTATACAGATTCGATTCAATCCCTATGGAAATCCCAGCAGGCTTTTTTGCAGATGCTGACAGACTGATCCTAAAATTTATACAGAAAGGCAAATGATCCAGAAAAACCATAACAAATCTTGAAATAAAAAAGAACAAAGTTGAAGGACTTACATTTCTTAATCTCAAACCTTAATTATAATGCTACAGCAATCAAGAGAATGATACTGGCATAAAGATAAACACAGAAGTCAATGGAACCAAATAGAGACTCCAGAAATAAACTCTTTCATTTATGGTCTACTGATATTAAACAAGGGTGCAATGCAAGTCAATGGCAGAAAAGACCATTATTTCAAGAAATGATGCTGGGACAACTCCATAAGAATGCGCAAAATGATAAATTTTGACCTTTATGCTAACCCATACAAAAAAATCGACTCTAACATATTACAGACCTAAACGTAGGAGCTAAAACTATAAAACTCTTAGAGGAAAACACAGAAGTAAATTTTTATGACCTGTGTCAGGCAAAGATTTCTTAGATATGACACCAAGAATACAAATAATGAAAGAAAAAAAAAAATTGGTGAGCCAGGCATAGTGGCTTATACCTAGAATCCCAGCATTTTGGGAGGCTGAGGCAGGTGGATCACCTGAGGTCAGGAGTTCAAGACCAGCCTGGCAAACAGTGAAACCCCACCTCTACTAAAAATACAAAAAATTAGGTAGGCGTGGTGGCAGCCACCTATAATCCCAGCTACTAGGGAGGCTGAGGCAGGAAAATCTTCAACCCAGAAGGCAGAGGTTGCAGTGAGCCAAAACCGTGCAATTGTACTCCAGCCTGGGCAACAAGAGTGAAACTCCATCTCAAAAAAAAAAAAGGAAAAAATTGGTTAAGTTGGACTTCATCAAAATTAAAAACTTTTGCACACAAAAAGACACTATTAAGAAGATAAAATGGCAAGTACTTGCTTGAAGAAAATATTTGCAAATGTAATGTGTGTACCTATGCAACAATCTTGCATGTTCTTCACATGTACCCCAAAACCTAAAATGCAATTAAAAAAAAAATTTGCAAATGTATATCAAAGGATGGTACCCAGAATATAAAAGAATTCTTAAATCAATAGGAAGAGAAAATATACCTCAGGTTTTTTTAAGAGGCAAAAAAAAAATTGAATAGACATTTCACCAAGGAATGTACATGAATTAAAGAAAAAAAAGGAATATACATAAATAGTCAATAAGCACATGAAACAATGTTCAACAACATTACTCATTAGGGAAATGCATATTAAAACCACAATGACAGCACTTCATGCCTATAGGAATGGCTATGATAAAAAAGACAAAAAATGTCAAGTGTTGGCAATGATGAGAAAAAACTGGAACCCTAACACACTGATGGAGAAAATGTAAAACGGTACAGCTATTTAGTAGTTTCTTAACAAGTTAAACATAAATTTGACATATGACTGAGAAATCTACTCTTAGGTCTCTATCCAAAAGAGATAAAAAGATATGTCTACACAAACACCTGAATATTCACAGCAACACTATTCAAAACCACCAAAAAGTGTGAAAATAATCCAAACAACCGTTAGTTGGTGAATAGATAAACAAATTGTAGTTCATATATCCATACTACGGAATACTCTTTAGCAATAAAAACAAGAGTGAAGTACTGATACATACTACACATGGCTAGAACTCAAAAATATGCTAAGTGAAAAAAACAACACACAAAAGACCACTTTTTTTTGTTTTGAGACAGAGTCACACTCTGTTGCCCAGGGAGGAGTGCAGTGGCATGATCTCGGCTCACTGCAACCTCTGCCTCCCAGTTTCAAGCGATTCTCCTGCCTCAGCATCCCAAGTAGCTGGAATTACAGGCACGCACCACCACGCCCGGCTAATTTTTATATTTTGAGTAGAGACAGGGTTTCACTATGTTGGCCAGGCTGGTCTCAAGCTCCTGACCTTGTGATCTGCCCACCTCAGCCTCTCAAAGTGCTGGGACTACATGCGTGACCCACCGCACCTGGCAAAAGACCACTTATACAATTTCATTTATAAAAAATATCCAGAAAAGGTAAATATATAAAGATGGAAAGCAGATTACTGGTTTTCTGGGGCAGGATGGGAGAAGTCACTGCAAATGGCACATCAGATCTTTTGGGGGTGACAGAAACAGCAGCAAAAATCCGTAAATTTACTAAACATCTATGAATGGTACACTTAAAATGAATGAACTGTATGGTATATAAATTAAACCTCAATGAAGTTTCTTTTTAAAGAGATAGTAACCTAAATTTTAACTACAGCATAAGACTATTAACATCCTAAGAGCTTAAATTCTTCTTGTCCCTTCCTTTATATTTAATGATGCCTATCAACATGAGTGCTGAACTGAAAAAGGAACTACGTAGCCATAACTAAAGGGGTTCCATGGTTTCCTCCTGAATAATCTGAATTTAAAAATCCAAACAGTCCTAAACAATTTTACTAACCAGAATTTTGTTTAGAGCCTGATGATCCTCCATGTTCGACCTTTGTTTTCTTCTTCTTAGATGATGACGATGATGACTCAGAAGACACTGAACGTTTTTCTACTACAGGAGTGGTAAGAGCTCGTTTTCTGAACAGCTCCCTTTCTCTCAACAGGCTTGGATCCATAATGCTACAAAGAAAAAATAAATAGCTTTAATACAGATTCAAGTCACTCAAACCTGCACTTCAAATCCACAGATCTCAACAAGTTACTTCCCAAACAAAATCACCTTTTTATTTCTCTAGCACTTGTTTGTATTCACTTATTCATGTGCTCAAAAATTATTTCATTAGTGCTTATTAGGTGCCAAGCACTGTACTAGCCATTATAGGAAAAAAAAGAGGTCAGGCATAGTGGCTCAAGCACTTTGGGAGGCTGAGGTTGGTAGACTGCTTGAGCCCAGCAGTTGGAGACCAGCCTGGGCAACATGGTAAGACCTCATGTCTACAAAAAAATACAAAAAATTAGGCAGGCATGGTGATTCATGCCTACAGTCCCAGCTAATCGGGAGGCGGAGGTGGGAGGATCACTTAAGCCCAGGAGGTCAAGGCTGCAGTAAGCCATAATAACGCCACTGCACTCTAGCCTGGTGACACAGCAAGACCGTTTCTCAAAAAAAGAAAAAAAAAAAAGAGGAGGAGAGGGGAAGAAAGAAAAGAAACAGAATTATTCTCTAAAGCTCCAGAACTATGCTGTCCATTATAGTAGCCACTAGCCCCATCTGCCAATTGAACATGTGAAATGTAGCTAGTTAGAATTGAGAGGGACTTTTAAGTGTAAAAACACACCAGACTTCAAAGATTCAGTATAAAGAAAAAACCTGTTTAATTACTAATGAGATATTTTACATTAATTATATGTTGAAGTGATACTATTTTGAACACACTGGGTTAAATAAAATGTTAAAATTAATTTTACCAATTCTTATTTTAAAATATTTCTATTAAAAAAATTTAAGAGAAAGGGTCTCAATGTGTTGCCCAGCCTGGAGTACAGTGGTGTGATCATAGCTCAATGAAGCCTTTAACTTCTGGGCTCAAGCAATCGTCCCACCTCAGGCTCCTGGCTAGCTAGAACTATAGGTACATGCCACCACACCCAGTTAACTTTTTAAAAAAAATTTTAGAGACAAGGTCTTGCTGTATTACCCTGGCTGGTCTCGAACTCCTGGCCTCAAGCAATACCCCTACCTCAGTCTCCCAAAGGCCAGGATTATAAAAGTGAGCCACTGCACCCAGCCAAGAATTTTTTCTTTTTTTTTTCTTTTTTTTTTGAGACAGAGTTTCACTCTTGTTGCCCAGGCTGGAGTGCAATGGAGCAATCTTGACTCACCGCAACCTCTACCACCTGAGTTCAAGTGATTCTCCCACCTCAGCCTCCTGAATAGCTGGGACTACAGGCATGTGCCATCCCATGTGCCCAGCTAATTTTTGTATTTTTAGTAAAGATGGGGTTTCACCATGATGGCCAGGATGGTCTTGCTCTCTTGAACTCATGATCTGCCCGCCTCAGCGTCTCAAAGTGCTGGGATAACAGGCGTAAGCCACCATGCACTGCCTAGAATATTTTTAACTACATGTGTGGCTCACACTTCCCACTCCCATTATATTTCTATTGGACAATGTTGCTGTAGAAACAACTTGAGGACTACAGGGCAGAAATGAGGAGACGGTAGATTTAGGCTCACTGTAAAAAACAGAACCATCAGAACTGCTTATAAATAAAATAGCTTATTTTTAAAACTGGTGAACTCTCAACTATTAAGTGAAAAAGCTGAATTATATTTCTTAGCAATGTCTACAGAGAGTCGGGCACAGTGGCTCACGTCTGTAATCCTAGCACTTTGGGAGGCTGAGGTGGGTGGATCACCTGAAGTCAGAAGTTCAAGACCAGCCTAGACAACACAGTGAAACCCTATCTCTACTAAAAATACAATATTTAGGCAGGCATGGTGGCACACACCTGTAGTCCCAGCTACTCAGGAGGCTGAGGCATGAGAATCCTTTTGAGTCCAGAGGAGGTTGCAGTGAGCCGAGACTGCACCACTGCCCTCCAGCCTGGATGACACAGCATAATTCTGTCTCAAGAAAAAAAAAAAAAGAAAAGAAAAAAAGAAATGTCTATTGAAAATTTCCAATCTGAGCCGGGCGCGGTGGCTCAAGCCTGTAATCCCAGCACTTTGGGAGGCCGAGGCGGGTGGATCACGAGGTCAAGAGATCGAGACCATCCTGGTCAACATGGTGAAACCCCGTCTCTACTAAAAATACAAAAAATTAGCTGGGCATGGTGGCACGTGCCTGTAATCCCAGCTACTCAGGAGGCTGAGGCAGGAGAATTGCCTGAACCAAGGAGGCGGAAGTTGCAATGGGCCGAGATCCCCCTATTGCGCCCAAAATTGGTGACACAGCCACCCCCCATCGCAAAAAAAAAAAAAAAGAAAATTTCCAATCTGGAGGTGGTCTGAAACAACTTCTTTGTTGTGGCTGTTTGTCCAGTTCTAAAACTACAACTCTAGGCAATTTCAGTACAATCAAGGAAGCTACAGGCCAACCAACAAGAATTCTAAACACTCCTTTCTTCTGAACTCTGCTATACCCTGCAGAGGGTCTAGGAAGACCTCAAGCTGACTATATAAATGAATTTGACACTGTTAAGATTAGGGTCAGCTGGGAGGAAAAAGACCCCGACTTTGAAAGCTTTTAAGCACAGGATAGCTCAATAAATATTTGTTAAATGAACAACACATGGAACAACATCTTTTAATTGCTCTGGTCCCATGATTAGTGGTTTCACACGCCTTTATTAATTGTCTTCGGTTTGTGAAACATGTGCTCTAAGCTTTGAAAGGTTATGGAGGATAAATCCTAGTCTGCATGCTGCTTAGATTTGAGAAAATCAAAGACTTGAGCTAAAAATTTAAAATATAAGCATTAATAAGGAATAATCAGAGTGAATTTCAGTTAAGGTGTGAACAATCACTGGATGGTGAATCAAAAACCTGCCTTCTCAGTTTTAAATGAGCTATTATTTTAATATATGGAGCATACATTTAATATATTTTCAAAATCTAAACAAAGTTTTTGTTTGAAAACTTTACAAAATGATTCTGAAGTGTGCATGGAAAAATAAATGTTTCAATTTTTTTTTTTTTTTTTGAGACAGTCTCACTCTGCCGCCCAGGTGGTAGTGCAGTGGTGTGATCTCAGCTCACTGAAACCTCCACCCCCTGGGCTCAAGTGATTCTCCTGCCTGCCTCAGCCTCCCGAGAAGCTGGAACTACAGGTGCGCACCATCACACCTGGCTAATTTTTGTATTTTTAGTAGAGGGGCTCATTCACCATGTTGGCCAGGCTGGTCTTGAACTCCTGACCTCAAGTGATCCACTCACCTCAGCCTCCCAAAGTGCTAGGATTACAGGCAGAGCCACCATGCCCTGCCTCATTTTCAATTCCTAAGAGCCGCATGGCTAGGCAACCCACAAGGCCACTACATTCAGTTTCATAAATAAAATGAAGACGCTGCCAATGCTGTCCATGATCCAACCCAACTTTAAGAACCAGAAAATGTGTACATTATTTTTTAAATAGTCATAAAAACATGTTATTTTAGTATTACTATTTTGAGTTGGATCTGAAAAAAAATAAGAGAATGATTTACCGGGCTGAGGAAGATAGGAGACAGCCTTGGGAGGAGGGAAAGCGTGGGGACAAGAAGAAAGGAGAATTATCAATTGAGAAGGTGGGGGCAACAAACAGATTGTAAATTCCTAAAACAGGAAACATCTGTGTTTCATTTCACGTTGTAAAGGCGGGACCTTAATCCAGGCTTTTAAAAAATGACCTTAAAAGACTTAAATAAACCCGTAGAGTTTACAACAAACTAACTGCTTACAGTATTTGGACCCTCGCAACTCTCGGAGCAAAAAGTTATTAGTGTTATTCCTATTTTTAATACGTGAAATGTGAAGTGACGCTGTCTCGTTAAGGTCGCACGGAAGAACGAACCCGGGCCACGACCCAAACCTCTTGACTCCTAAGCCAAGTGCTCCTTACACCAGACCTGGAACGCTGGTAAAGGCCTTTAAAACAAAGGCGACCTATGAGGTTCAGGAACGTTCAAAGGCACCTAGAGCAGAAGGCTTCACGATGTCTTTCACCATCACGTGCTCCGTCTAACTTTGACTCTTTTTTCAAAGACTACTCAATATTTGTACTAAGTTTAAGATCTCAGGACCCACCTGTGTAGTAAACAAGCTGCATCACTATGTTCATTTTACATTAAAACAAAACTACCACCACAACACGAAATGTTGACCGGTTACTCCGTGGGAAGATACGGAAAACCCATAAATTAAACTAAAAGCTGCTGGCTCCAAACCCACGACTCTTGCCACCATTCGACCTCTTTCAGCCTTTCTACTTTCCCTCTCTTTTGCTTCTTTCCCAGCCTCAGAAGTGTCCCTGGCACCTCAGCACCCGGCTATGAACAGCGGGCTGCTTCGCCTTTAAATGACAGCAGTGGGGAGGTGGGCGAAAAGGGGGCCGCAGCTTTATTGTGTGGAAAACATCTTTAGACTGCAGAAATCAACTACTATCGTTAAAGTTTAGGAATCATCACAAACCAACTCTCCAAAAGGCAGCCTAGAAACCAGATCGCGTATGAGAATCTAAATCACAGCCTTAAGCTGGCTGGAACACCGTGGCTCCCCAAACTCCACACCCGGTTCGCTTGGCTACCGCGCCCGTCAACTTGGAGGCTTGGACGAGGCACCGTCAGACAGCAAACCGCCAATTTTCCCTCTTCCCAATCCAAAAGTTTGCTCAATGAACCTCCGGCCTAAAGACAATGCTGGGGGAACCGTTCGCGTGTTGGGTGTTTCGCGTCGAGAACGGCGGCCCCAGCTTCCCTTGGAGTGTAGGTCACGCTCAGCCCCCCGGGAAGCGGCGACGCGCCTGGGTCCCGGGAACAGCAGGGCGGGACTCCGCGCCCCTCACCCGGCGGCCGCAGCCCCTACCTGAGTGATTAGGGAAGCCCCGCGCGACTCGCCACCGCCTCCCTGCGCCTCAGCCTCGACCAGCCGCCCACGCCGGCACGGCAGCCTTTTCCTGTTCCTCGTCAGCGCCCCCGCCTGCCCGCACGCACGCCCAGCGGGGACCTGCCAGGTCGGGGTCTCGCCACTGGCGGCGGCGACGGTGGCTGAGGCGGCGACTCGACCCGGGACTCCGCCCGCCACTTCCCGATCGGGTGGAGGAGCTCAATCCCGGCAGCCACCGCGGCGCCATGGCCGCCGAGCGCGCGCATGCGTCATTGCGTGCCCCGCCTCGGGTGCCGCGGGAGCAGAACTAGCGCGCTCGGGAGTCCTGTGGTCTCCATGACAACGAGTGAATGCTGGGGGCGGGGCCGAGGAGGGGACTGAGGTGGGAGGCGGCGTCAGGGATGAGGAAAGGCGGCTTTCTTTACAGACGCTTAATTAAAGCTGCTACGGCCTGCCCCGGAGTGCGCTGGGTTGTGGTGAACCCAATCGGCGACTCTTATCTTTCAAGGGTTATTTTGATTTCTTTGTCTTTTTCTTATTAGAGACAGGATCTCACTCCATCGCCCATGCTGGAGTGCAGTGGCGCTGTCTCGGCTCACTGCTGGGTCCAAGCCCACGATTCTTGCCACCATTCAACCTCCTTCAACCTTTCTACTTCCCCTCTCTTTTGCTACCTTTTGGAGACTTGGTTTGATATGATCCTCTGCCTCCCGGGCTCAAGGCATTTTCCCACCTCAGCCTCCAGAGTAGCTGGGATCAAAGGCGAGTGCCACCAAGACAGGCAATATGTGTTATTGTTGTTATTGTTTGTATTAATATTGTCTCACAATGTTGCCCAGGCTGGTCTCAAACTCCTGAGTTCAAGCGATCCGCCTGCTTCGTCCTCCCAAAGTGCTGATTACAGGCGTGAGCCACCCCGCCCGGCCTCAATGGTTATTTGTGACTACCCCAGTGCCACCCACCAGCACCTGCCCTCCGAGAAGGCGGTTCCAGCTTTTTTACAGCGAAGACAGGGGCCCAGAAAGCTAATTAATAAATGACTTTCTCAAGACAGCAAAGGCAGCCTGATGTGGAGCCCAGCCCAGGCTCCGCCCTTGTGAACTGTCTTGGGAAAGGATTTTGGATTCAGAACCACGATGAATGGGTGAAAATAAAGCAATGGAAAAAATAATTGTCGTTGCCCGAACCCTGCAGCGTGGCATGCCTTCTCTCACTCTTGGAACCTAAAGCAGCAGTACAGCCAGCACTCAGCCATTCTGTGGCTCTCGTTTAATTACTTGTTACTGGTTACTCCTCAAGTTACTGAACCTGTGACTTGGCTTTCTCATCTGGGAAACGGGGATAATCATTGTACTACTCCAATGAGTTACTTGCATTGGACTGTGGTGAAAATTAAATGAAAAAATACCTAAAATTTTATTCAAAACTTGGAGAAAAAAGTCAAAAGATAATATTTTGTGATCTTTTTGATTAGTTTCATTCTAGAGAATTTCGTGATAAGCCTACTTGATGATCATCTGATATGCACAGAAAATGTAACTTTGTTTGAATCACAATTGATTAGGGCCCAGAATATTTACAAAAGGATAAAATCAAAGAACTAGTAGGAAACTGATGAGGTGTAAGGGGAGAAAGGGGCAGGGAATCAGTATATATTTAAAAAAAAAAAAAATCCCAAAGGATAAGGTTGCATTGTTCTGAGAAAAATTAAACCATTTTTGTATCAACTGAGCAGTCTTATTTCAGCATTCCTTTCCCCAACGATTATATAAACTTCATTTTTCAGAACTGGTAGAAATCAGTTTTGTGATTCTGCCGGCTCCCTTATTAATGAGTAAGAAACTTTTACATATAGACAATGGCTAAACCGCATATGATAATGACATTCTAACCCACATAAGCCAAACCGCAACCTCTACAGCAATCAGCTCAAAATGGTCAGAATTTGCTCAAGAAGGCTGCCAACTTTCGTTTTTTAACCTCTCTGTTCCCCAGACACCAGTACTAGCCAGAGAAAACCAAATATGCTCCCCAAACCAATCATGTTAAGTTTCTTGCTTCAGGTTAGACCACCTTCAGCTTCCTCACCAACAACCCTAAATCAGAACACCTCAGAAGCATCCCTTTGTTCCCCCACTATAAAGCCTCTCCTCTTCCTGATTGCTTTTGAGTCTCTGCCAAACTCAAGTGTGGTCGCTGCCTCTATTGCCATAGCAAACTCTGATAGTCTCTGTTCTCGTTTGGGAGGTCTACATTTCTTACATCAAACAAAACTTTGACACATATTCACTATCTCTGCCCTTGAGACTTAGAAACCTAACAATTAGAGAACCGTGCCTTTACTTCTGTAAAAGGCATCTTAAATCTGCCACATACAAGGTGCTCAATAAATGCTTACAATAATTAATTTCATGTCAATATCTTGTCTCATTTCAACCGGTTGGAACAGCTAAGCTACTGATAATATCAGAATGTAGTATTTATAATCCAGACTCTCAAATCTCAATTGTGTGCCCTTTACCCAGAAGTTAGCTCTTGCTATTAATATCACTGAAACCCTCTTATACACCTCCCAGCAAACCCCTTTACAATATATAAATGATAATTCTTGTCAACCAGTGTACCACTCATGTTGATACTGCCTGTTGCCTGTGACTAGATCTTAACACTGAAAGCAATGGCTTCATTTATTCTGAGGCAGGAGAACAGAGTCTGGAAGCAGGGAACCTAAGGACTGTTCACACTGACTCTCTAGAAAGAACTAAATCAAAAGGAAAACCCTAACTTTCCATGCCCAAGTAACAGAAGGAACAGAGGCTACTCCCTTTGCAACCCCTCACCCCCATTTTTCTGCCTGGCAGATGAAAAATTGAAAGTACCCCTGGTCGGGCACGGTGGCTCGTGCCTGTAATCCCAGCACCTTGGGAGGCCGAGGCAGGCGGATCACTTGAGGCCAGGAGTTCAAGACCAGGCTGGCCAACATAGTGAAACCGTGTCTCTACTAAAAAATACAAGAAGTAGCCAGGCCTGGTGGCAGGTGCCTTTAATCCCAGCTACTCAGTAGGCTGAGGCAGGAGAATCACTGGAACTCAGGAGGTTGAGCCAAGACCATGCCATTGCACTCCAGCCTAGGTGACAAAGTGAAACTCTATCTCAAAAAGTCAAAATAAAAAATAAAGCACCTCTGATTGGTCCCCTCTCAACCAATCAGGCTGGTTATGGACCAAGTCTTCATTTGCATAGGAGTATAACTTTATAACTTTAGCCTCTGATTGGTCACTTTCTGCAACCAATCAGACATTTGCATAGGGTGTACCTATGTAAATTCACTTCAGCCTCTGATTGGTTCCCTCCTGCAACCAGACTGATATGGATAACTACTTTGTTTATATAAGGTGTACATCAAGTAACCAGTGGGAAACCTCTAGAGGGTTTTAAACCCAAGAAAATTCTGTAACTGGACTCTTGAGCCCCTATGTAGGGTCCAGCCCTACAGTGTCCTGTGAGCCCCACTCTGCTGGTGTGGAGACAAGAAACGGTAGAAATCAAAGACACAAGACTCAGAGATAGAGAAAAGAGAGTTTGGGCCTGGGGGTCCACTACCGACCAAAGCGCAGAGTCCAGCAGTGGCCCTGAGTGCCTCAACACTCTGACTTTTATTGAGTACAAAGCTGGGGGCAGGGTAGGTAGGGCATGGTGCAAAGCTGGTGGCACTGTAGGTAGGGCATGACATTGGTGATCAGTGATAGGGTGAAGTACATCACATATCATATATGTAGGGGCCCAAGTCTTTTTAGTAGCCAAGATGAGATAAGGAGCATGTGTCAGCACTTTTCCATACTTGTCAAGAAAGAACAAAGACATTAAGATTTATACTACTTGACACAGGTCTGCAGTATAAGAGCAGCTTAAAAAAAAGAAAAAAAAAGATTTATATTACTTTTACTGATTATCTCTTCTAAGAAAAAAGGAACCAGGTGCAGAAGCAGAACATGGGAGTGGACATGAAACGTGACCACTGAAGCACAGCATCACATAGAGAAAATTAAGCCCCCAGATGTCTGCGGGCCTACCTGACAGCCGTCAGGCCTACTGCGAGAGCTCAGAGGAGCGAAGTTTTCTCCTAACTCCCCTGAGGAAGGAAACATCTGGGCCATCTTGGACGTCTTCTTCCCTAGCTGGCTAAACAGCGGACACTTTCCCAGTGCTGATGCTGCCACACAGTCGAGGCACCCTCTAGCAGCCCTTGCACGGGCATGGCCAAGGGCTTAAAGTGCCTTGCCTTAGGATCATTTCTTTCGCAAGGTTACCCCAGGTTCACACCTCCGAGCTGAGAGGTATTAGTAAAAGAATTAGGATCACCTACGAATAACTGAGATCGCCTATGAATAACTAATAACTACTATGGTTATATTTCTATTTACTTTCTTCCTCATTATTTATATGGAAATAGGCTGAGGCTTCTAGCTCCTGCCTCGGCACTTACGGGGTCTCCTCCCTACACCCCTATGCTTGGCCCACTCCCACTTTGTGTAGTGTGCTTTCATTTTCATTTCAGTAACTCTCTGCTCTTGTTGCTTCATTCATTCCTTGCTTTGTTTGTGCATTTTGTCCAATTCTTTTTTCAAAATGCCAAGAACCTAGACACCCTCCACTGGTAACAATTCTGGACGCTTTGGGGTAATATTCTGTATCCTGAAGGTACTCCTCAAGTGAAGACAAAAATAGGATCACTGTATGGTTTGTACTTATGTCCGGGGTACTTATACATGGACACCACACTACAAATGAACTAAAAAATAATTCTTTTGTCTACTGGGAGTGCAGACTATAACGACCAACTTAATATTGTCCAAACATCACCCCAAATTGACTTGATTTCAGAGACTTCAATATTAGGAATTAAACATAAAGTGTGTATCCTGCCTTCTCTTTCTTATCACAAAATCTGGACATCACCTGGGTTCCTTCCAAGGCACCCTCTGGCCAAGTCTTAAGGAGAGGAAAATTTCCCACTCTGAGGTGAGAAGTACGGCTGTTTATATGCTCTATAATACACACAGTCTCCACCACTGATGTTTAAATAAACCTCTATCATAATTAAAACCACCTACATGTTGGCAGCCTCAGTATTTCCAGGTCAGAAGGGTGTGGCCAATGTCAAATTATATGAAGAGCTAAGCAACTAATGCAATAGCAAATTATGTCTTGCCTCATGAATGCT